CTGGAGGCGGAAATGGGCTCTCTCGAGGTGCCAATCCGAGGGGACATGTAGCACCCCACGTGCACCCATACGCACCACTGACAGGGGCCATTTCAATGCAGTGCATCCGGTGTGATTGGTCGCCTACAAGGTGGCAATCCTGCGGCGCATCTTGGCTATTGCGGGCACCCATTCCCGCCATCGGCGGTTGCCATTCTAGACAACTTTGGTTGGTGGGAATGGGCGCCCGTGAGGTGCCAATCCTGTCGTGCCTCTAGCGCCTCGCAGACGCCCATTCGTGTTGGCTGTGGAGGCCATTCCAGGCCACTACGGGTGGCTCAACCTCTTTGCTAGAGAGCCGGGGAGCTGGAGCTGCCGGGAAGGGGGGGGCAGCTGGCCGGAGGCTTGTCGAGTTGGCTGGGGTGTGACCGGACTGGGACAAGCGAGGACCGGGTTGGACTGGACCGGGTAGGAAGCGTGCCATATTGGGCGTTCGGTGCCAACAGCCGCACGCTGGACGGGCAGCGAGGGCACAACTTGATATTGTGCCCCTTGCAGCAGATTTCGTCATTAATGATTACATTGATCAGTGACAAACGATTTGCGGTGGCATCCATACTCTTACTTGTGCGGATCAGCCACCGTGCTGGGCTGAACGGAATAGGAGAAGATGCACCTCCCAATGTACATGTGCCCCCAATAGATGGTCCCCAGCACCTGGACCATCCGCCACACTCGCACAGAGAAAGATCTTTTCGAGAAAAGAATCGCGTGGGCGGGTGGCGGTGGTGGTTGAGCCACCACAAATCGATCCATGTTGTTTCGTTGAAAAGATAGCAACATGATACCCATAAAGTTCTTTCCTGCTAACTGAAGTGGTCTAGATTCGATAAAATATGCAGTTTGTGCCTTTGAGGCGATGACGGGCGTGGCTTCAAACAGCAGAATGCTACCAAAACAGTTCTTGATTTCTGCCAAGTGTATTGAGAACAGAAAAAAGAACAGAAGCATAGCCCATCGATGTAATCAGCAGCTGTTGCTTTGTTGCCTCACTCGTGGAATATCCCTCTAGGGAACTGCATGACAACGCAAGAAGGGTGAGCTGCTGTAACCGGTGCAAGCAGGCGCATTTAAGGCATTGCTTCCTCTTGAAGCATATTGTAGCTACAACATGCCTCAAGAGTAAACAATGCCTTACGTGCGCTGGATTTCAAGAAATTATGGGGTTGACAGACGAACATGGAAGCAACCACATCAAATGTTGCTCATACATCAGGTTTAAAGGACCACCGGGCGTGCGTCCCACCACCTATCCCCCCTCCCCACCCCACTCCCACCCCGCTCCCACCCCACCCCACGCCCCACACCCTACCCCACACCCACACCAACACACTCGCACAGCTGCACTTTCGTACGCCCAAACACACACGGTGGCTTGGACGGCTTGGCGAAGTAGGACCCACCTTTGTGGATTCCTTTCCCAGATGTCGGGTGATTTTCGTTGGGGCTTCACCAACCCCTTTTGTTTTCTTTTGAGACCCATTCACACGGGGCCTCACAGTGTTTGTTTCGATTGATTTTTCCGGCGGCGGCACCTATAGCGCTGCGCAGTGGAAGAGGCCCCAAACATTCTTGAACAGTGGTGGGTTCTCGTGTGCCAGGGACTCACTGTTTGACTGTAACAAATCTTGGCGCACACACACGCCCCGATTTTCGCAACAGGGAAGGAATGGGCGTACCCAGGTAGATTCGACAGGAGAATGCCTGTTTGGAAGTGGAACTGACTAACTGGTAATGTGGTTTTGCCAGGGGTATGATGGTTGGGCGTGCATCGACAGGCCCTGGGTGGGCGCCGCCTAAGTAACGCTACTTTGGGGCATGCCCTTTGGTTGCTGCCAACCCAGTACCCTGGGCCAATGGAAGGCCATGGAGCTCAAGGCAAGTCAGTGAGTTGGTACCCCCAGCCCTGGTGGGCTTTCAGGGTTTCGAGTCGGGCGGCTATTTAGACATTCCCATAAGCCTCGTTACTATCTTGTTTCACAGCTGGCCGGCCTGCGCTATGAGAGGTCCGGTTAGCTGTGACCCTGTGAGAGTAAAGCACGAGATTGGGGACGTTGGCTCAGGGCTGAATCACATTCTAGCACAGCCTGAAGTATGGTTAACCAAATGGGCACAATCTAAAGTGCATTGCCTCGGGTGTTGTATTCAATATGGAGATGAAGACCTGAAGTGAAATCGTGTGTAATGTTGTTCATGTCGGGAACACCCTGGCTGGGAACGGGGGGAGAGGAGACCAATTGGACAGAAACTCTTGGTTAGCTTCAAGTCATCTCAATGCATATTCCTTTTATGACTTTCTGAAATATGATCCTTACTTAAATGCTTCTTGAGGTAATTAACGTGGCACTCGATTATATTCCTGATATGCTAGGCTTGGTTCTTCATTGACATGTCATGCAAACTCGTCAATCTTGAAGTTTTGGAATACACAAATTCCTCGAGCAATCAGTCAATAGATTCTCGCAACGATTGCGTGGGAGGCCGACAACAGCTATTGATTGTGCCTTATGCGCCTTTCCCCACCTGCAAGCTGCAAGCTTTTAGTTTCCATTGCTCAATGACCAGAATTCGGTTATTCTGACAACTGAAATCAATTTACGGGAGCTGTGACTTCGTCCGTAGCAACGTCGAGGAAGGGCACAGTGGTGGCGGTCAAGCAAGCTATTCTTCCTGCTGTCTCCTTGACTTGCAACAATTGTCATGTACACCCCTTCAATGGCACGACAGTATGGATGTGATGCGTGCATATGTTATGAACCCTCATCCGTGTGCGTTGAGACATTGCTGGGCTTGCTGGAAGACTGAAATGCTTAGGGAGGTTCACGAGCAAGCCATTAGCCGTTTGCCGCTAATCAGGGCCGGTATGGCCCTCTTCTTAGATTAGATCGATCCTGTAGAAAGAACGCAATCCTTTCATGTCACAGGGTATCTCCAGAGGCGCCCTTGAGAGGCCCTCTCCCCCCCAACTCCCCACCCCCCAACCCCAACCCCAACCCCAACCCCAACCCCAACCCCAACCCCAACCCCAACCCCAACCCCAACCCCAACCCCAACCCCGACCCCGACCCCAACCCCAAAGCATCAATATGGCGCCAAGCATGACAAAATCCAGACGTGCGTTCCATAAGAGGGACTTGCCGTCGTGTGGTGATTGAGCGAAACAACACAAAGTGTTAGAGAAACGCATTTCCCTGTGCAACGTGTGCTCTGCGGCACAGGCTGCCCACGAGAGCGCGGAAACACAAGGGACACGTGGAGCGATGTTCCTGTTGACTGCTGCACAGATATGTTGATTAAAAACCCAACAACACGTCCAACATTTCTCTACCACTAACAAACGTCCCTGCCACTGCCAGCCGGCCGCCATGCACGAACTGACCCCACGTCGCCAGATGCGAATTGCGCTAGGAACCAAGCCACGCCCACTACTGGAGCGCACGGCACACACCATGCCAGTTGCTCGGTGCACCTCCCATAAACTGAACTATTCCCCAAAAAGATGCCCGGCGCCCACGACCACCAGCGGACCCAAAATGCGTCTCGCAATGCGTCAAGCCAAGAGCACAAGTCCGTCAGCGACTCTGTGGTCGCCAAAGTGCTTGGCAATGCGTTCCAAGGTATTGCATGATATCTCACAGCTGCTCGAAAACGCACCACCCTGAGAGAAGGTGAGTACAGACAAGGCACGGGGAGGTAACGAACACATGCGTGCGAGGCAAATGGGCACACCATGCCCCGCCACTTATCTCCCCCCAGCTATGGCACCCTGCCTCCCCTCGGACTTATCCCTTACACATGCACAACACCCCACCGCTCCCCTTGTGCCGATCATGATGTTGTGCATGGTTCCCAGAGACACTACATTCCAAACGTGGCCACGTATCGACATTCTTCTTACACCCGAAGATTACACTCTTGGCTACACACATGATACACCTGAACACATCCTCATTCTTCCTCCCAACTCTGAAAATGTCGAAAATGCGGGCCTTCATCCTGCAGTTCGCTCCTCACCCCAACGGCTGTTTTGAACTGAACACTTACGGCCTGGGCATGCAGGTGTTGCTTCCTGTCTGCATTCTCCTGCCTGAATAACGCACCAAAACAGCGGGGTTTCCAGCCCACAAACCAGAGTGACGTCTTCCCCTCCACAGTTAGACCTCCCTTCTGTAGGTGCTACATGGAGACCATCCTCCCCCACCACTTCGCTTGAAGTCAGTGCATGGCAATTGCCAAGAGGAAGATCATCCTTGGGAAAGCATCCCCACCACACTCCACACCCTGATGACACCAATCAAAAGACGAAAACACCACGAGCAGTACACTTCCTCAACCTCCACAACACCTCTGGTTTCCGCCTTCAGGATGTTTACCTGGGCTGGACATGCCCTGCACCAAGTTCAGTTGGATGCCTTCCCCATACATTTCCCCCTTCCCAGAGAAGATCTTATTCTTCACCAATCGATTATTGGTTATTCAGTTCTATGCCACTCAGGCTCTGCCCACCCTCAAAATCGCAAGTGCAACGACCATGGAATCAAAGACCTTTCTGTGCATACCATGCTTGTTTTCGTCCCAAAACCAAAACTCCCACAGCGATCAACTTGAAGAAACGCCTAAGGCACAGCACTCCCTCTTCGACCCTCCAATTCTCAACTTAATGGGCCCCAGAAAGGGGGCAGCATCACTTAGTGTACACAAAAATAGGTCACAAGGTGGAACGACGTGTGCCCAGTCAACTTCAGGCACAAATTGACCGTGGCGGCAAGTCAGAACCTGGCACACACCACATGTGTTTTTGCTTGCCTTGGCACCGCCCAGACAACTGGTTTTCCTTGGCCGTGGCATGTGTCACACTTCCACACAACCATACCAAGGTACACCAATGCTGAGGCCGTGCCTCCTCAGTTCGACTGATGCACAAATGCACCACTACCCCCATCAGGCCAAGTAACCATAGCCTACTTGGAGCGTGAGCTGGACAGCTCCTCTGCTGGGAAGTCCAGAAAGTGAACCAAACCGTTACCATCACCAGCGATGACTGTGTCTGACAGCTTGGAGCCCCCAAAAGCGCAGGCAGTGATCCCGCAGTCGCCCATGAAGACCACCCGCAAGCGCCCGCTGTGTGCAGTCCACACACGCACCACACTGTTGGTGGAATAGGTGACCACAAAGCTGGAGTCGCTGGAGAAAACTGCACCAGCGATCTCGTCCGAGTGGCCCTGCGACATCGGCAAGTCAAAAGCACCTTACAAACTCCGTCCTGCACTTTCCACCCCTGCAGGGCTTACCTTCACCCCCTTGAAAGGCAATCGTGTGGCTTTTTCAAGGCATGCTTCTTTATGGGAAGTTCACAAGGAGCTGGCCGCTTCCTAACTTGCCTTTCTGAGCAATGGAACTATTAATAGCTAAAATGCATGCAACTGCGCTCTCAGGTGTGCATGAAGTTGTCGGGACAAACATTACCAACTGAACAATGCCCAGCACTGTGTCGCAAGTGCAATGGCAGTGTTTTCCAGATATCTGCGAAAACAGTAAGATGGAACTAGCTAGGCTTGGAGCACCCCAGGTGACAGCTTGCAAATCCACCATGCTAAGAGACTGCGCGGGATTCACAATGCAACAAAATGTCATCTGTCGATTTACCAGCACGCTGATGGCTCTGGCACCTTCATTGAGCCATAAGGTCAGCGGTTGGTAGCTGGTGCTTACAATGTGATAAGGAAAGAAACTTTCAAAAAATGCTCACATTCAAGCACAAGAGGGGCTAAAAACCTGATGCAGTCCCACCAGCCTTTCCCAGCAAAATGATACTCTTTTGGTTCTCCACACTACTTGTTGGCATACATGTATCCATTCTGTGCAGCAGCAGCATAATGCGCATGCCCTCAATCCACAGCAAAGTGGCCAATACGTTCACCACCTACCTCCAGGACACCCAAGCACCGCCCCTTCTTGATGTCCCACAGCCAGGCCGTCTTGCCCTCTGCGATGGTCACCGCGCGGTGCCACTGTGGATCCACAGCCACATGGTCGACCTCCTTTGGGTGGTCCAGCACCATCGAGCACTCACCATTGCTTAAGTCCCACAGACGAGCGGTCTTATCATAACTCGCCGTGAGGGCCATAGTACCATCCTCTTTCACGACCCCTGTACTGAGACCGTCTTCGTGCCCTACAAAACAAACACACATGCGGGGATGTTCACCCTGGCCTGCACTGGGGCGCAACATCCAGGCAGCAAAAGCACAGCACCTGCAGATTCAGCACTCAGTGAACAACAATTTCTGACGCATTATGTCAGCTTCGCACATCTTAAACCTTCCCAAAATAGTGCTAGGTGTTGTACAACGCTTGGAAACAGGGTAAGTTGAGTATTAGCAGTTGGGCACCCTTGCAACTGCATGCCTGGCTTCAACCAAGCTCTTACCAGTCCCATCCGGCAATGTAGACGTCTGCATTCCAGCAGCTGGTGGGACCACTGTTGGAGCATTGTTATCAAGGGTCAACCATGAAATGCACTAGTTCGAGCCTTTATCAGAACCTCGCTGACATCATTTGCCATATGGACAGACGAGATTTTGTGTCGCTTGAAGCTGTGACTAAATCAGAGTGTGTCAAACAGTTGAAAGTGATATGCCTTTGTTCCTCTGTGCAATTCTCCACATAGATCCACAACAACCCATACATCCTGAGCAGGGTAAGTATCGCTCCACCTGAACCCAAACAGTGGCAATGCCACTTACTTGCCAGGCAACTATTATGGAATCGCAACTGTGCTTACCTGATAGCACCTGAGTGCACTGGGCTGTCTCAAGGTCCCACACACGTGCAGTGCTGTCTTTGCTGATGGTGAGCGCCTTTGTGCCCGCCTTCATTAGGTACACGGCATTTACACCACCGGCATGAACACGGATACCATCGCGCTCAGCGCGTTTCATCAGCTGATGGATGCACTCCATCGTGTCAAGATTCCACACAGACACTGTGGAATCAAAAAGCACGATGACCGCCCGCCGTCCATCAGGCGAGATCGCAAAAGACTTCATCCGGGCACCGCGGTGGTCTGGCATCGTGTTAACGCATATGCCAGATTTGACATCCCAAAGGCAGATCCGCCGATCCCCTGCACACAATTGCTGCCACGGTCAACAAGGTTGGCTTTTCAGACACTTCTGAAAGCTGGGGAACGGGTGAGCAGTTTGGGACAGTGCATTGTAAACAATGTGCCCTTCATTGCCTTGAAAGTGCCAGTAAGACAACTGCCACCAACAGCAAATGCAATCTCAGGGATACGCAGTGAGTGCATACGCTGTTCCAACATTTCCTTGGACATTACAACTGGCTGCAGGAACGACAAGCTGGTATCCAGCAGGCAGTGCCCCACTTCAGACAAACCTCCTGGATCAAAAGCCACTCTGGGCATGTTGGCCAGTGGCCATATTGACAGGCAACCCCATTTGGATGCTGCTGATGCTGGGGCATAACAACAGTGCTCCTGGCTACAAAGATGCCAATGCGGGGTGCTTGCGAACAGTAGGTCCAAATGGCACCTCCTGCAACAAGATGGCCTCCAAACAAGGCTGTGAGAAGCAGCGCACAGTCACAAGTTCTGCAATCAACATCACACCCCAACAGCATTTGGAGACTTACCGTATTTACCTATACTAATATCCACCCCCTATTAGTATCCCCTCCCTTCTTTGGAGTTCGAAACCATGCTAGCATCCATAACCCAGTGCTAGTATGCACCCCCAAACCTCAACAGAGCAAAAGCAAAGGAGCGAATGGTGGCAAGGGATGTGGGTGGCATGAGTTGGTTTGTGTTGCCCAGTCTGGTTCAAACACAATTCCCTGCGATTTGCGCATCGATTATGACGATCGGGTCGGCATGGATGCTGTTGAGGGAGAATATGGCAGGAGGTCCGCAAAAGGCCACAGGTTGACAGGCTGCCTTTGGGCTTTTAGCAAAGGATCGCTGGGCAGCAACCGGCGCTGCTAGACCCTACCATAGCAGGAAATAAAAGCTGCCCTGGTTTCTAGATTGAGTCAACCTGCTCCCAGCCGGCCAGAGTGGGTTCCAGTGACGCCTGCCAAGGGCGCCCCAAGGCCCAACACCAGGAACAGGCAGGCGATGGCGCTGGTCAGGCCGGCCACCTTGCAAGCTGGCCTAGACACGCTGGGGCGCCACGTCGCGACGACGGACTTGGCCCCCGGCGCTTTGGTAAGGTGAGCCGGCTGGAATAGCTGGTGGAATGTGTGATTGGCCAATCACACAACAAACCCAGGGGTGTGTGGCATGGCAGCTGTGCGAATTGGGGACAGGCCCTGCATTTGTGGCATTTTGCTGGCCATCTCGGTCCTCGTTCTACACATCATGGAGGCAAACGTACCTCAAGCAGCCCAAGGAACCCCTGTTGGCTCCAATCGCCAGTTGCCCCCACCTGGTGCAGCCCCAAGTCTAGGCCGCTGGCTCCCGTGAAGACGCTGTCAACTTTCAGTAATAGCATTGGTCACCAACAATATGGTGTTGTCAACAGTGTGGTGTCTATTATTTGTAACTTGGACATGGTGATGCTGCTACCTACGCCTTGCATCTTACAATATTTCAAGCCCATTTTGGGGGCCTTGCACGATCTATGTTTCAGAAATTTTGTTTGTCTACTCCTTGGATCAGGGGTCTAAACTGCATTAGTATCCATGCCCCACTATCAGTATCCACCGCTCATTTTGGGGGTCCAACACACACCTACTAATACCGGGTAAATACGGTAATAATCTTCCGCTGTCGCAAGGGAAGTAGGCTCAAGCAATTCTTCACCAGGTGTCTGCCTCTTGCTTGCTACGATCTCTTTCTTACTAAGAACTACCTTTGCCCTCCCCTTTTCCATACACCAACAGACATTCGGTGTACTGCTCTTGGAACTGTAGATTGGGGGTTCAGTTGAGAGGACATGTAGGCCAAACAAATCGTTCTGTTTGATACACTGGTATGGGCAAAACATGTGACACATGATTTTGGCTTTGTGTGGATTGCAAGGAACATCACTTCAGTCCATTCTAGTGGTGCTCACCTGAGCCCGTCGCCAGAAGCTCTCCGTTTCTGACCAAATATGCCCAGTGCAGGCCGGTGCTGTGGCCCCTGAGCACATGAAGGCACTGGCCAGATTTGACATCCCACACCAAGGCAACGCTGTCCTCGCCAATAGTGACTGCACGGACACCATCTGGTGACATGACGATGCCAATGACCTTGCCATGGTGGTGCTCTGGGAGCTGCACAGCTGGGGCTTGGAGATCCCACACGCGAGCAGTGCCATCTTCAGATGCTGAAATAACACAAGTACAGCCCAAGTTGCCAAATGCGTCATAGACAGTGGCACCAAAACACACTGGGCGTTTCGGTCCTGTTCTTCCACACAGTGCACCATGGACCTATAAGCGAGGGCTAAAACTCGCCAACATGCCAGTACTTGCGACTACCACAGCTGCCGCCTGAACTGCGCACTCTTGGATTTGGACTCACAGGCCCTAACGTCCATTGCTGAAACCCTGTTACAGCTGGAAAGGATCAAACCCAACAGCACCACAAAGAACATAGAAGCACATGCGATGGTCCTGACAGTTTCTTGGTAGATTCACTGTTGTCCACAAAATGGCCGCCACTCAAATCGTCTAGGTCATTCTTATGTGTGTACGCACCTGTGATGGCAAACCGCCCCTTGTACGACAGCTCAACGCTGTTCACTTCCCCACTGTGGCCCTTGCAAACACGCAGGGCCTCACCGGTGTTCGCATCCCAGTAGACAGCAAGGTCATCACCTGTGTCAAGCCAAGCCATCAATCAGCAGACAGACGTCAGCCGGGCCAGGCATACACTGCAGCAAAGAAATCTGACACACACAGGGATGGTGACTCTGTATTGCAACCTCAATTGCCATGCCTCTGCACAGAAGCAGCCCAAAACAGACGATGCGAATGCAATGCACAATAGCTTGTTATCAGCCTGGTCAGCAGCAGGCAAGTGATAAGCTGAACTGAGCACAAGCAGGAGGCAGTTGCTCTCTTATGGGTGCAAACATGGCTCTGGTTTCTTGTGGTATCTGTGCTGCACACTTGGAACAAGCGACCAACAGGTCATTGATCTGTGCATGCACGAGTTGCTCCAGTGGCCAAAGAAAGATTTGGTTTCAACACCTCCAAGATTCTATCTGATTGTCCTCTACCTCAGTCTTGTAAAACAAGTTCTTTCTTGCTGCACAAAAGAAATGTTATGGAGACTATTGTTGGAATGTTTTCTTTATTATGTGAGCCAGAAAATTGACAGCAAGTATTGTTGTGTCTTCAGATCAACAATGGCCACAGCAGGATAAGGAAACACAGCCACTATGTGTCTTCTGACTTATCACACCAAGGGACAAGGAATGCACCCACCAGAAGCAGTGACAACCCTTTGCCCGTTGTGCGTGATGGCTGCATCGTTAATCCATGCCCCATGGCCACACAACTCGGACAGCATCTTCAGGTTCTCAATGTCCCACACGATGGCAGTGTTATCGTCTGACACCGACACCGCACGCTTGCCATCAGGAGTTACAACCAGATTATTGATCTGGCCCCTGTGCCCAGTGAACACCTTATTGCATACACCCGTCCACAGGTCCCACAAGCGGATCGTCTTGTCATGCGAGGCAGTCAACAGGGTGCCACTGTCACCCGCAAATGCCAGTGCCTTGATCCAGTCAGTGTGGCCCTCAAGGGTGTCCACTGCCTCCCCTGTCTCCATCTTCCACACTCGCACACAGTACTCCGCATCCACTGAGGCCAGGAGGCGGCTGTCCGGGGAGATCGCCACACCGTCATGAGCCCCCCACTCCTCCCATGTTGGGGCCACACCCCCACCCATGCCTGAAAGAACGTGCAGACAGTTGCCCTTGCTCATGCTCCATATGCGGGTGGTCATGTCCTGCGAGGAGGTGACAAGTCTGCGACCCTGGGGGTCGATCGCCACTGCGTGGATCCTATGGCACAGCACAATGTCCAGATAAGACCCACAAGAGAAAGCTGGGAATCTCCAGGGGAAGCACTGTTCTATGACAATTCTGCACGAGTTCGCTGAAGGTCCACCAAACAGTACAGCAATTTCGACTTTGTCAGTATTTGCTTGATGAGATGTGACAAGGGTGCATCATGACTGTCGTTGGTACTCAATGAAGCAACACTTCCACAACCAAGTGCATCTATGGAGGCATCGTTCTTCTAGTCTGCAGACAACACAATAAAGAGCACACCTGGCAGCAGCCTGGTGTGGTTGCCAGACACTTGGTACATTCACTATGGGGTGCTCATGGATGCACGAGTTTCAACCGCAGCAAATCAAATTGAAGATTCTAATCTAGGGTGCACTACCCCCCAGCCAATATATCACCTGACATGCATTTGGGGCAATGGAACCCATCCAACACAGGCCATACCTCTTTTTGTGCCCACGCAGTTTATGCCTCCAGATGCCTGATGACAAGTCCCACACTATCGCCATGGTGTCCTCAGAGCCTGATGCAAGTGTTTGGCCATCAGCAGAAATCGATATGCTGGTTATGGGCCCCTGGTGCTCCTCCAGCAGCAAAACACAGTCCCCGATCTCCATGTCCCAGACCCGGATTGCTGCATCAGACGACCCCGTTATGACCTCCATTCCGTTGGGCGCCAGCACAACCTTCTTCACAGCCTCGGTGTGACCCCTCAAGATAAGGCGCTGAAGGCCACCAGCCTGCTCCAGAGTGGGTCTCCTTGGCAGCATGTGCACAGGCATGTTCCTTGCCCTCCGGTGAGGCACAGCCATCCAGCACTCCGCCCGTGCCGTTTCATACCACTCTCCCAGGTTGGTGTGCTGTGCTGAGACCATGAGGCGCGACAGCATCTGTTCCTTCAGTATGTACAGGTTGGGGTGGTCCAAGCTGGCAGCTGCAGACATTTGGAATGCTCGAAGGAGGAGCTTAATGTCTGCATCTTCCTTGACAGTGAGATACCTGCCAGGTAGACCAAACAATTGACCTATTGGAGGATATCTCTACACACTGGGCCACAATCCTGGGCAAGAATTTTGCTCCACATTTCAATGCCTAGAGCGTAGAAGATGATACAGTGTGCAGGCACATCATGTTTATATCACAAAAACTGCCAATGCACCCTGCATTGACTTGCAAGCTTGTTCTGCTCTTGTCCCTGCTCATTCTCACGGGTCAGTTGTATTGTTGCTTCCAATCTGCGCAAGACAACCCGGATTATGTGCAAGCCTATATGCCAAGTCATACAAAGATTACCACTCTACAGGCATCTGTGTGCACATGTATCCCTGAGAAGACGATATGGTGGGAGTGGACAAAAGATGCCAACATGAGCTTCTCGAATCTGTGAAAACTGCAGGCCACTTGGGAGGCCTTCTGCTGTCAGATGGCAGTTCACTCCACTCTCATAATGTTCTAAAACGAAACAGCAATGGGACATTGAAGACAGAGGAAATTACCAGAAAATGAAGTGTCACGGAACACACCTCCTGAAGTCAGACACAACTGCACCCGTGCCGTAACTGCGCAGTTTCGTCTCCAGCCAGATCGGGTCCCTCAAAAGTCCCGCCATCTCTTCCATGCGGTCAGCCTCCACAAGGTGGTTGGCGATATTCTGCATGAAGTACTGGTCGTCAGGCACCAGCGCAAGGTTGTGGAAGCCCTGTCGGTACAGGTTGACCAGCCGTGAGTGCTGCGCCTTCAGGCTGTCCTTGAACATGTCTTGTAGCCTACCCAGATGGAAGGGGCTGATTATGCACCAAGCACTGTCGTCCTCAAGAATGGCCATCTTCAGGATCTTTCTGGCTTCCATGAGGCTTGCAGCTGCCTCTGCGTCATGGAGGTCTGGTGTGCCCCACAGGCGAGCCAGGAGGCTGATGGGCACTGGAACATCGGCAGGGAGAACTGCCAGCTGGTGATATCTTCGCCGCAGCTCCCCAGAGAATGAATCGCTGTTCAGGCGAGAAACTGCAACAGCAGAAGGCCAGGATGGCCAATACATTACCATTCAGCACACCACATGCACTTGTGTGTCGGACTGACCCAATGCACTGTTGGGGAATTCGCTACAGGCTCGTGCGCTGCCAGTTGCTCAGCAAATCAGTTTTCACAGGCCTCAGCCGGGAACACAGCAGGTGGACATGCAAGGACGCTTTGGGAAGACCTGCAAAGGCTGAGAGAAGACAGAGAGGTCCATTACATCCAGTAAACAGGGTGGAAGGCATGTGCATGTCACAACTTGTCTGACCTTTATGATCACTACTTGAACAAGTAACCCTACTCACAGACAAAATCAAAGCCATGTATACACACACCACAGTGCTCCAGTGCCACCTTGTGCAGCGAGTTGATCTGCCTTGTTGTCCTACACCGCTGGCAGCACCTCACAGGTGACCAGAGGAAATTCTCTTGAGCAACACAACAAAGCTACTCGTGAAGGGAACATACAAATGAGTGTTTAACTAGAGGCAGCTCTCAACAGCTCCACAATCGTATCGAGGCATGCTCCAGCCCACCTGAACCATCCTCCACAGCATTCTGGAATATATCCAAGCTGGAAAACTCATGCTGGTATTCAACGCTCTTTCTCTCTGCAGCAAAACTGCTCCGCACATCAGTGCGGCTCCGCCCCCCTCCAGCATCTCCACCCACTGGCGGACCCCCAGCACTCAGCTCCAGCTGATTCATGGACTGTACCATATCTGGTGGCAAGTAGCTGCTTGTGTCCATCTGTCGACCAGCCCCAGGTCCCCCGCTGGAGTGTTTCATCGAGGCCAACCTGTTAGACTGACCGTTCAGCAGCGGGGGCCCTACGCTAGCTTCTTGAGCAGGCGGCTCTGCATCGGCCCAGGCGTCCCGAAGGCTCTCTGGTGGGGGCGCGGTACGGGGTGGTGGTGGAGGAGGGATCCCAACAGGGAACCCATCCGCACTGGTCCTTGCCTGGCCCATCTCGCTCGAGCTGTCAGAAATCTTCCGAGGATCGGCCGTGCTTGCGCGGATGCCAATATTAAGGGACATCCTCTCTGGTGCTCCTGAGGAGCCAGCCCAGGCCCCATACGGTCCTCCCGCCACGTCCATCGATGGCCGCACCCTCTGCATGGACTCAGCGCGGGCCGAAGCATCCATGAAATCGTCATTGTCATCATACTGTGCTGCGCGCTCAGCTGATAACCTCATTTTGCCATCTGAAGCCCTCCGTTGGGAGGTGGTGGGGGCAGCATCATGGTCATGGCTGCTGGCTACAGAAGAAGCCTTTGACGAAGAGAAAAAGCTGGACATTTGCGCAATGTGCTCTTGGGAGGCACGGCCCCCCGCCTTTTCACCTCGACCCTGTTCGGAGGAGGGCACCCGCGAACCAGACGCCCTGCTCCCAGCATCAGAAGGGGCATGCCGACTGGACTTGAAGAAGCCAGACTCCTGAACACTGCCCAGGCGGTGGTCGTCTGCCATGCTGTTCGGATCTCCAAACTGTGTGCTTCCAAGAAGCGAGTCTGCAGGGTGGCAAACCAGGACTCTGATTATGGACACAACTCATGAAAGACTCGCACGACTCACGGACACAAAGAACTCTTGCTCAGGAAGGAAGCACTCATGACGTGGACAACTCTGGGCTGGACCTTCAATAGGGCTCACACAGGCAGTACTGCAATGAAGAGAACATATCCAAGAATCCAAGAATCAAAAGGATTGTCACAGAAACAAGAAACACGAGTCTACCATTCGCACTCGATTGGATGCTCAACAAGCTTCTAGGCAACGCACAAGCCAGTGCCCTGCAGTAGTGAGCCCGAAGCAGATGCTTCCATGGATGGGAAAGAAATAAAATTGTATGAACACCCTGCTTTGCTGGTGTATGTTCGCTGTAGCAAAGTCAACCTCTAAATCCAATCAGTTTGCGGGGCCACTTGCTGACAATGATATCTCTCTGGTAGTAATTCACCCACACCCACAACCCAAACTACCCGTATTTACCCAGTATTAGTAGGCGTGTATTGGACCCCCAAAATGAGTGGTGGATACTAATAGTGGGTCATGTATACTAACGCGCTTTGGACCCCTGATCCCAAAGAGCAGACAGAGAAAATTTTTGACAAATAGGCTGTGAAATGCCCAGAAATGGACAAGAATGGCAATGCTAGTGCGGAGTGTTGTCAGCCCCTTCACGGGAGCTGGCGGCCTTGACTTGGGGCTGCATCAGGTGGTGGCGACTGGCGATTGGGGCCAATAGGGGTTCGCTGGAATGCTTGAGGCGCGTTTTCCTCTGCAATGCAAAGAACGAGGATTGATACGGGTCTCAACTCGCTGGGGCGCAACGTCGCAACGATAAGCTTGAAACGCGGCACTTTGCCAGGCTAATGGTGGCTGGGAAGGCTGATGTGATTTGTGATTGTGTTTGTGGCCTGGCAGCTAGTACGATGTGCGAGTTGGGGACGGGCCTGGCCTTGGCAGTGCTTTGTAAGCAGTTTGAAAGGCGGGATCTCACAACGGCATCCGCCCCGACCAACGCCGTCGCCTGCCCATTCCTGGCGCTGTGCCTTGGGGCGCCCTTGGCAGGTGGCAGGCCGGAACCTACGCTGGCCGGCCAGGGAAGAGGTTAACTCAATCCAGAAACAAGGCGGCTTTGATTTCTCGACTGCTTCTTTGATTGGGCCCCGCGGCATCGGTCGATGCCCTGCGATCCTGCGCTGAGAGCGCAAACGGCGGCCAGTCAACCATGTGGCCTTTCCCAGGCCCTCTTTCAAATTCTCCCTCAACACCATCCACTCCGACCCGATCGTCCCCGTCGATGTGCGAATCGCAGGGAACACGTTTTGGTCTACACTACGCAACACGGTCCAACACCAGCTGCCGACTTCCTTTGCCACCATCCGTGCCTTTGCTCGTTTCTGTCTGCGTTTGGGGGTGGATACTAATAGGGGGTGCCTACTAATACCGGGTAAATACGGTAATAAAAGGGGGCCTGCAGTTTCAGCAAAAAGATAACATCCTACATTGTCCTGATCTCTTCAAGACAGGAAGGTGCCTTTGCACATTGAAGGTGGTGATGAGTATTGTCCTTGTGCTGTTTGAATGACAACACCAAACACAGCCTGGCAGACAAGCTATGTTGTTCTCTAGAGGTTGCCATACTCAGGAACAGAACATGCTTGTACCCAATACCTTGCGTGCTGGTGGACTTTGGGGTGCTTGACGATTGTCTGGCAACCTCCCCACTATTGCTGCCCAATGGAGATGCTGGCCCCAGTTGTGGGCTGTAATGCCAGCCTCCGTGAAGGGCACTATCGTCGGATGGGCGGCAGCCTTCGCGCTGCCCACTATAGAGCTTCCCTGACTGGTGCTCTGCTATCTGCACAGCAAGGTTACACAAACAATGGTGTCAAAGACAGGCAGCACACGGCACACAATGAACAACCCTTTTTCAAACTGGGAAAGGGTGTTCAGGCATATCAGAGTATGGAAGAGCAAGCGCTGAACAATTTAAGTTGACAGCAACGATGAGTGATGAAGCTCAAATGCATGTTGTGTACACTTGGGGGTGGAAAAGACCACTCCTTGTCCAGCATGGCAGGCAGAATGTGCTGACGTCAACACGCAACACTTTGCTGCAGCGATGAGCACAAAGAGAAGTGAAACAAATGCCAGAGACAAGGCAGGCCCAGCTCAAGGCAATCCTGCAGGCTATCAAGCATCAGTTGGCAACGCTGGCATTCCTGAAAATTTTGACTCATTGCCCAGCCATTTCTGCAATGGGTTGAATGTGCACGTACTTTGAACACAACATGACATACGACTATCCAACTTGTGCAACCCCTCCCACTGGTGATGGGGGAACATCAGGACAAAACGCCATCAGGGACAAGCCCATGCTCACGCAAAAACAGCTCTCAGCATCGTCCAATAGTTGGAAGCAAACTGTCAAAACCAACACAACTTACCAGTTCACGATTTACACTGTTGAATAGGATGCAAACCGGGGTCACTGGCATCTTGAGATGGATGTGTAGAGACCAAGCCCACCTGTTTCACAATGGTCCCTGCATTCACAGGGTTGACTTCATCTGCCCCCTGGAATTCTTTCGACATTTCCTGCCCTCTGTTTCTGCTGAACTGGGTTGGGCACGTGGGAAACGATGCTTGCCAGGCGCTGCAACTTCACGAGCAGGAAGTGTCAGCACACAGTGCTGATAGAACGATGGACCTAGATCTCATCGCTGAGCACATGTGCCCGTTGAGCACAGACACCCACTGGCATGGAAGGGTGTCTGTCCATTGGCCCATCTGAATGGTACCTACTGTTCACATGTGGTCATTCTCATCCATGGCTTGAACACCAAAGCAAACAAATGGGGTGTGCCTGCATTGTTCCTACAGGCAAACTCAGTTTGTGCATGGACTGCACAGGGATGGAGCCCTGATGGAGCAAGGGCCCAGATGGACTGTGGCCTCTGGTCTCCAGCGGCCATGGCAGGCTGGTGCAATTGATCGCCATTGCTCTGAAGCAAAAAACGGGGGTTAACTCTGCATCGCTCACCAGTGTCACTCAGCCTCTCTACCCACGAAATGAAAGAGGCTGCTTATTTATCGCCCCGCTGCCTTTCTAAAGGACACCGCCAGTGACTAAGGCTAGCTGTTGCCCACAAGCACAGGTGGCTGACAACTGCCTTTAACATGAGCTGAAGCGACTCCTTTGAGGTGCTCCGAAAGACCGCACAGCCTTTTCTCCACGTGGAAAACTGAAGGGACATGTCCAGCACCTGCTCTAAACGTAGTGCCCGTTGGCACAAAAACATTGGTGACCCTGGTTGGGTTTTAATGGTGAGGAATAAAGCCCTTTCAGAGCGACGCTAGCACTAAACACTGGAGACAAAAATACCAAAGAGGCAACACAGTACGATATCATGCACTGGGTGCACCCAATCGCTGCACAAAAACGCCCACAATCGATATACTTTGCATTGGTCTGACCCAAATGCACTACACCAGACCTCTTGGGCCTCGTTTCCTTCCTTCCCATGATGTTGGCGACTATACCACGGCATAAAATTTGCACATCAAGCACACCATTGCTCCTGAATCCAAACCATAACTACAGAAGGCCTGCCCAGACGCATTGTGCATTCAATCTTGAACTGCTCCGCAACACAAGCAGTGTCCGCTAGGTACATTGTCTATATGAACCTTGCCCTTCATTGCCGTAGCTGGCTGTGATTCACGATCACAGAAGAATGTGAAACAAAATAAGAAACTGCCCCATTCACGGACACGCTTGCACCCACTGTGGCATCTGAGAAATCTTGTGGGGAATCCAGTACACAAGAACTGACCCCTGCCCATGGGATGGGTCATTTACAAATCAACACTCCCCCTGCATGCTATCCATGCCAGCTTCTCCATACTGAGATCCAGGCCACATGTGTTCTGCCTACGCTTCTGGAAAGGGTGCATAGACAGTGCGTACTTAACCACGTTTGGTGCTAGGAATGCAGATGGTCTGTAAGGCTATGTATAAACTCCCCCAGCACACAACTGCAGGTTGCACAAACAGCCTGTCAACACCCCCGGAAGTTGTGGTAATAGGGTTTCCCAATATCTGACTGTTTTGATTGAGGCAAGCAATGCATAGAACACACACACACACACACACACACACACACATCAACCATCGACAGGGGTTGAACGACTGCTAAGGTAATGGCTTGGACCAATTTTCAACTAGGAATGCTGACATGCCAACAGTATGCACACCACCTCCAAGAACCTGAACGAGTTATTGTTATGACATAAGGAAACACATGGTGGTCGTGTCACCAAACTCCACCTAAAGATAAAATTATTCAGGATAGTACCCTCCATGATGATTTTGCCAACCCAACAACAAAGAGAACTGGTAGGCTACACCCCACTGGACAGTGCCACTGAGCAAACATGTGTCTGCGTTGGCAGCCAAACTGTGCTCACATCATTCTGCTGAAACGCTGCCACACACCCTAAAGTCAACCTACAGTGCTTGCTGATCGGTGCCATATCTCAACACAGTGAAATGGAATCCATGCTGCCCAGGGTTGCAGAGAGAGTCTTTGCTCCTTGAGTTTCAGGTGCCTTCCCTGTGTTCCTCAGGGCACCTCAGATTACTGTTTCACACCTCAGATCTCAAGCCCCTGTCCATTGCCAGGGTGTGCTGCTTTGGGTGCCACTACGCACTGCAACTTGTTGCCTAATGCACCAGGGGCGGTCTCATGCAGCATCCTCCGCAGCAGAGAACAGCAGATCACAAAAATTCTCGCTCGTTTCAGGGGACATCCGTGCCCGAACATCCTCCCTACAACCACACAGCTCTCGCCTCGTGCAAGCCCACCAGAAGGGGCACGAAGCCACAAGATACGTCGACAAAAACACGGAAGGTTCGTCCTCTGGATTACACTCGACTGCCGGTGGCTTGCGAGTGTTCATCCTGACCTGTCGCCAGCACACCGCTGCGCTGGCCAATCCGCACCCGTGACGCGATCCACGTGACATCAAAATGCCCATTTGGACTCGACAACTCAGCATCCCGCCGGCATCCCGCACCGCCAAATCCAGGGGAGGTTGGGAAGGGCCTGTTTCCAGCCGCCAGGAGCGGCCACAACGGGCGAAACAGGGTGCGCCGGCGATTCGGCCACTTCCAAAAGAGTCCCCTCAACACCGGCCTCGAGCGTTGCCAAAGCAAACACCGCAATGCCACCAGGCCGAATGGTGCCCCCCAGAGGTCAGCGCGGCGCGCCCACCCGTCGCTAGTCCCAGCACACAGACGGGGTCCGCCTCAACAAAATCCAGCGTCAGATGGCGCCTTGCACAGACCGCGCCACAGCGTCCATGCCGACCGGCAAACAAAAGCGACGTCCGCTCCGGGGCTGGAAAACAACACGCCGCGGGCGGGCAACCCGCCGTCTGGCGCGTCAACGGAAAGATGCCCCTTATAGATCATCGGACTGCCCGCCATCCAGAGCCGCGCACTCGCGCCCAGGAGCTTGATTTGAACAGGCCGCCACGCCCGCCTCGCGAGCTTCGCACACCGCTGCGGCCGTCGGGCCCCTCCCCCGAGACTTCGCCTCCCGGCCCGCCCCTAGGAACCCAGAGCGCCGCGATTCTCG